CCCCCCCTCGGAGAATGGCAGACACTTGTATAAAACAAGCGGCGGCTTCCCCGCTGTACATTTAGCCCTGCTTGCCCAAAGCAAGGCTTAATGTAGAGAACAACTACCCGCCCGGGCATCGGGAGATATGAATTCCACACCCCTGCTGCCCCTCTACTCCCTGCTGCCCTAAAGCCGGGCCTTGGTTGGCCTTGTGGGAAATGCGGCCCTGCCACTGCCCACAGACTTAATGTGCTCAGCTACTTGTACAGTGGCCTAAATAAGACATCTCTGTAATTGCATACAATTCACTTGCACTTTATGGGACTGCCTAGTGTGCCTACGCCTAAATATTATTTCAGCATAATATTATGGTTTCTTGAATTGTTCCATTATGAATAACGATCACCACATAGGACAATCTGCCATTACCAAGAATTGACCAACCAGCAGATGTGAGCACATCTGACCCCTTTTAATCTATGGGCTTGGCATCCAGAAGGCATACATAATTATTAAAGCTTAACTCCAGGATAAGTAGATATTGTCTTAATACAAGAAACATATGCATTCATACTTTAATCTTGGTGTGCTTTGTGTATTTCTTCCAGTTATGGTGGGTAATCTAACGTAAATGTTTGCAGAAATCAATAAAATCACAATTTTTCATTGAGTAGAGGAAGGCTTGATATCTCATCAATATTTTATTGCCGTCTGTGTGCCTGCGAGATTTCTTCACTTCCATTTCTGGTGGCAACGTTGTAAGTGGGACAAGAAGTAAAGAGAAATCTCTATAAGGCCTTACACAGCAATACGAAAATTGACACTAGTTCTAGTCTTCCTCCAGTCTAACCACATCTCAGAAAAAGGGTTTTGCCAAAGTTATACTTTGAAGACTGGGGGTTCAAACTGTAGCAGCTTTTTATTTTGAGTTCCAGTGTACTGTATGCTTGCTACTTTATGTTTAATAGTTTAGTAGTCAAAGCAATATTATTTACTTGCTAAGGCTATGGTAGGTAAGCAATATCATAAAAACAAAACTTGACCACAGCTATTTTACCTGTAGATAGTATTCCCCTTCAACCACATGTAGGCCATCGAAAACACCCAATACGTAAATATCACTCTTGTGTTTGTCTGCCATTTTAAAATCTAAGTGACAGCACAGTTGATTTTGACACACTGTGTATTTCCCCTCTAGGTCTGTGAGCTCTGTGAAAGTGTATTCATCCTCAAAGAGGTATCCATTAAAAACATTGCCGCCAGAAGAATAATTTTCAATCATAGAGGCATGCAAGTTCCATTCTTTAGGGGAGTATGTCGAAATATTCCTTGGATGGGAGTTCAGTTCAGAGATAAGCAGATGGCCTTCCTCATTTTCCATATTATAGAAGTATGGTACAACTTTATCTGGGGAAAAGATTCCACTGCCTAAAAACAGGAATTAATACATTGATTAGCTTGAGAATTGTTGGGAAATATGCCAGACATTACAGTAGGGAACACAACTTGAAACATAATTACTATTATACAAAGGGCTTTCAAATTCAGAATATTGCCTTTAGTTTATCAAATAGCATGAAATATAACAAATATCTATGAAGTACATTAGAAATAAATGGACAGTGTTGAATGAAATTACTCACTCCCAATGTAGTTGTCATTTGTACTGCTGATGCATTCATGTAGTTTTTTGGTAAAGTCTCATAATTTAATACAGCTATAGGCAATTGTTCCTACACCCCCCCCCCCCCCCCAAAAAAAAAAAGGACACACCTTTTTTTTTTTTTTGAAACTATT